TCTTGTCAGGTGCAAATATTTTAGAATAGAAATTCATCATGATGTAAACACTTCAGTCAATGAGGGTTCATGTTCACAAGATGGGGGAAAGTGTTCTAATTAATGAAAGTTCAACTTGAAATGCAAAATTGCAAGAGATCACGGGAAAAGGTCTGGTGGAATTTTTAAGCCCACGCCTGGCTCTGGGATCAGGAGTACTATGCTAAGTCACTCAATCATGCTAATTCAGCCAGTTTTACTACTGCCTCTTCATTAACACTCACATCTAATGCCATTATGCAAATACACATGGAATTTTAAAAGTGCTTTTCCCCATCTGTTTTTTCCTACGTTAAATAAATAAAAATCACACCACCATACTTTTATTAACAGGATGTGGGGGGGGGACCTGTTTACACCATGGGTGGGGAACCTGTGGCCCTCCAGTTGTGGTTGGACTCCAACTCCCATCAGCCCCAGAGGCTGTGGCTGGGAATGGTGAGAGCTGAAGCTCAGCCAGAGCTGGAGGGCTGGAGGTTCCACACATCTGACTTACTCTGGTGAATTCCCACTGAGATGAAAGAGACTACATTCATGTAAGTGAATAATAATTCTCTCCCCCCCCCCATGAATTATACCTATGCTGAATGTAGACCTACATGTCAAATATAGCCAGTATAACATAGCAGTTAGATTGTTGCAGTGGAACCTGGGAAATGAGGGTTCAATCCCTGGTTCAGGAAATTCACTGGTGACCTTGCCAGCCATTGTCCCTCAGCCAAACCTACCCCACAGGGTTGTTGTGATGATAAAATGAGGAACTGAGAACCATGTACATCAACTTGAGTTCTTTGGAGGAAAGTGGAGATATACTAAACAAATATTCATTAATTTGACCTTTGTGTGGCATTTTTCAGTGAACGGTGTTGTAAAAATATTTTAGGCATCAGCAATAATTATAATAATAATGTCAAAAGTAGTAAGTTTGGTATGGCAATTTTTCTATGGAAAAGAAGAGAGAGAAATATAGTTTGCGGGAATATTCACCTCTCCCCCCAACTGTGTTTGACTTTTTCAATGCCATGTCCCCCTTTTCCTTCTCCCCTTTCTTTTTCTTGTCAAATGGATCCCACACAACCAGAGATCACACAACATGTGTGTGTTCACAGTACCTTGTCCATGCATTTGATTTAGGTGTGGGAGCTCGTGTGTGTGTGTGTGTGTGTGTGTGTGTGTGTAAACTGTGATATGGCATGCCTCCATGGCTGGTGGGTGCAATCCTGCTCCTTCCATGTACTCAGTGAACATGTGAAGGGGTGCTGTTGTGTGAACACTCCCTAGTAAATAGCATGGCTTCATGACGCTATGACTTATGTGAAGACATTACAAGACATCAATCAATCAATAAAACCACAGCTAAACAAATTTGGCTGCATCAGTGAGGGCAAATAACAGAGAGTAAAGGTGAGTGAGGGCAACTTAAATGAATTTGCAGGGCGTGGCAAAAGACAGCCAAAAATGGGGACCAATCTGAGCTTTGCCATATTCATGAGATTATTTATTAGGAGCAAGTGAGCACTGGAAGAGGATGAATGAAGGCTTCTGACCGTGCAGAAGATGCATGCTGGTTTATGTATCTTGCAACCTTTGCCCCATTATGTACTCAGCAAAAAGACTGGGCACTTCAAGACCACTAAGTAGCATATTATCTGAGAATAATATATAAATAAGGTAAAATAGCATATATGAATCCAGGCTACATTTCTAGTTGAAAGAGATACACAGTGGAGCAGGTGTACACACACACACACACACACACACACAAATGCACAATGCAGATGATGAGTCTCTGCCAGTATGTACATTATGTTCTCCCTCCTTTGACTTCACAGAAGAACATGAGCTCCATATTTCTCATTGTGTGTGTGTGTGTGTGTGTTAAAAAAAAAGAGCAAAATGATTTTACTGTGTTGGAACAGCCCATTCATCACGCTGAACATTTGATTCTGTCACTTCAAGTACTTGTTAAAAAATCACTTCAAGCTGCTACAATCAAGGGCCAGGTACTTCCAAGGTCTGACACTTTTGTAGCTCTATTACACCTTTAAGTAGGATTCTTCAATCCAATTCCAGCCTTCATGATAATCAAGTGCCCACTCCACTTAACTCCAAGGCAGCTAAAGAACTCAGAATGCACCGGATAGATGCCTGGGTCTGATTTTCAATCAGGCCTCTCCTACCCACGGCTGCAAAAGCCCCTGAATATCTGCTAAGTAGTGAAACAGTCTCACTTACACCTAAAAGAAGGTAAGCAGTAGTGGCTCTGTTGTTAAAACCATCATGTCTTGTCTTCTGTCGTGGAAAGAAAGAAAGCATTGTGAAAGCATTGTGCTAGTTAGGCAAAAAATCCAGAAATATACCAGGGTTAAATCTTCATGCCAGCTTTACCCAGGAACAGTGACATGCGGTGAAAATTTCATAGGGAAATAGTTAAGGCCAGAGGCAATGTAGGAGGCAACATTGCGACATCTTGATGTCCCATGCATGAGCATCGCGCTACCTTCCCTATGCTGGGTATCATCATCATCATCAACATCATCATCATTGCTACTACTATTATTATTGCTGTTTTTCTAGAAAAAGAGGTGCCATAACTCACCATGAACATCTCCCTTGTTCTCATAGAATGGCAATGGTGCCCACCTGAAAGGTGATAGAACTGACTTCTGTTGAGTTGTGGCTGAAAAAAAAAAGCCCTGATTATTATTATTATTATTATTATTATTATTATTATTACTGCTACTGCTACTGCTACTACTATCATCATCATCATCATCATCATCATCATCATCATCATTATCATCATCCCAGGCAAAGTTCATAGGCAGAACAGGCAGACCAGAGCAAGAATCCAGGAAGAGAAGCAGCACCACGGACAGTTCCAAAAAGGTTGTGGGAGTTCTTTCTGTATAGCAATTGCACAAGCTTGAAGTCAACAGAGTTGTACTCGGCCTGCTGATGAGCTTGGTGTTCCACTTTCCTCATTCATTTGAGAAAACCACTAGTGTTCAAAGGCTTCACCTATTGACTCTGGCAAGGCTGGGGTGTCTTCAGCTGTGCTGATGGTCCAGGCCTCTGGAGTCTGCAGCGAAGGGTGGAGAGGTCTCCCCAGGTTATGAAGATGGTGGCAAGACTGGCTCCTGGGTTTCTTGCACAAACACCTCTGGCAGAGTGGTGTCTTCTAAGGGTAACCGTCTTCTGAACAGCACCTTTTCACATATCATCGCCTGGATCTCAAGCACCTTCTAAGAGATGGATGCAGAGAGGGAGAGATCAGCCAGGTGGGGCAAAGCAGCACCTGTGAAGGAAGGCATTTAGGCTCCCTCTCAGTGAATGATTTAAAAAATGTTGGGCTGAAACACTTGGCATAGCTCTTCTTTAAAACTTTCTATGTCTCAGCCAAAGGGGTGGAACCATGGGTGGGTGATGGGATATATAGAAGCATACAAGCATGCTCTGGGTAACCTTCTGGGGGCCGTATCTGGCTCTGGTGGGCAGGAACAGAAGCAAAACTAGGCAAAACAATGGCTGTAAACTGAACTTTTGTACAGTAGCCCAGTTTCTATTCCTACATACAGCACTCGATCCTCCCTCCTGGGTGGCAAGAGGAATTGTCCGAGGTCAAGTGTGATGGCCTGGGATTCGGATTCGGATGCTGAACCTGAAGAATCCCAGCCTGCACAGGATTCCCCGCCTCCAGAATCAGCTGAGCCAGGGCTGGGGCATGAGCCTGAAGGGTCCTCACCTGTGCTGGATCCACAGGTGCAGACATCAGCTGGGTCTGCTCTGGCTCCTGAGGGGGTGGAGGACCCATTGCCTGCAGGTGCTCCACTCTCAGCCCTGTCAGAGGAAGCTGAGGTTGCCTCAGCTTCTCCTGAGCTGCAGAGGCTCAGGGCAGAGAGGCGGAGGGAACTAAGTTCCCGCAGGAGGAGTGCTCCAGGCCATCTTCAGGCCAGGAGATGCGAGCCACCTGAGGATCGGGGCTGCCCTGTGCCTCGGGGCAGATAAAAGCCAGCCAGCCCCAGTCCCAAGTTGTGGGAGCAACTTTGTTGGTTGACAGTTCCTGCCTGAACCCTGCCCTGCTATCCTGCTGGAGCTCCTGACCTCACCCGACTACCTGCCCTGCATCCAGCTTCAACTTCTTCAGACTGCACCTTTGACCTCGGACTGGACTCGGACCTTGCCTCCCAGTTAGCCCACAGGACCAGCACATAAAGGATGTATCCTAGCCAGGGGGAACGTGCTCAAGGAAGATGTAGCCAGGGGAGAGTTCAAGGGTCAGATAGAGAGGCCTGGAAAGCTGCATTTGGCTTCTGGTCTGAGGTTCCTCACCCCATTATTTTATAACAACCTCAAGCAGTGAGTTGGCACTGGGTCATCCAGCTTTCCCATTCCTTGCATTTGACTGGGAGGACCAAGGAAGATGTGGCGACCAGAGAAGGCAGCAAAGGCTTGATAGAGACACGTCAGTGGTAGCAGTGAGAGAAAGGAGGAAGCCGAGCGATCGGCGTGGCTCTTCTAGCGCATTGAACACATAAATAGAAGATGACAGAAAGTCCTTTGGTTGCTTATAAATGTCAAATACTTTTAAGCGATTACCTTTCCTTGTCACTTAACATTAAAGAGCCATGTAAAATGCATTTATGCCCAGTCATTTGGAGTAAGGACGCAGCAATCAACCAACACAGAACAGCTTCTGCGAGGATATGGAGAGTACAGCTGTCTGAAATACATGCCTTCATCCTCTTGCTTGTTCCGGAGCACGTTGTCAACTCTGGAAAGGAAAGCCGGGGGCGGAACAGAACTCATTTCAGCTGTGAAATAAGAAAAATATACAGGGATGTGATGGGAACATAGGAAGCTGCCTCAGACGGAGTCAGACTCGAGGGTTTATCAAGCTCAGTATCATCTACAATGACCTGCGGCGAATCTCCAGGGTTTCAGCCAGAAGCGTCTCTGCTTGAAGATGCTGGGGCTTGAACCTGTGATCTTCTGCATGCAAGACAGAAACTCTACCACTAAGCAACAGCCCTTCCCATAGATTTTTAAACAGATGCAGATGGACCCATTTCCAAGTCATTCATGGTGTCAGAAGGATTTGAAGGCTTGTATGTGTTTCCTCACAACACATGTTACAGGTTGAATGGGGGCCACTTGCCTATGAGTAGGTAAGGAATAGAGCCCACTAGACTTCCATGCTGAGTGACCACCAAAACTAGAAAAGGACCTTCTACAAATGAAACATTTTGTGTGTGTGTGTGTGTTCTTGCAAGAAATAAATATTTCAGTGTGGCAGCACCGGCTCGCTGGAACACCCTGCTTTTAACATTGGGCAGGTACCTTTGATATTGCTTTTGGTGTGTGCTAGAATCCTTTTTTTAATAAGGATTTTAAAAATATGGATTTTATTATGCCTGTATGCAGTTGATTTTGATTTGAGGAGCAATATGACTGGAATTGATTTCTGTTTCTTTGGGAAGATGACTAATTGCAGGTGACAAAAGGATGATGCACACACACACACACACACACACACACACAATATTACTGTGCAAACTTCTCCCCCTGTCCATCATAATGTGTAGCAACACTTACTCCACCTCATGATGTCATCATATTGCTTTTTTCAGTGCCCCACTCAGGGCTGCCTAAGGTAAGAACATCCCTAGTGGATGAGGTGAAAGGTCCAACCAGTCCAGTATCTTGTGATTTCGGGTGGAATGTGGACAAGGAAATGCACAAGATAATGTCACAACTGATGTAAAAAAAGGAAAGGTAAAGGACCCTGGGATGGTTAAGTCCAGTCAAAGGTGACTATGGGGTTGTGGCGTTCATCTCTCTTTCAGGCTGAGGGAGCCGGCCGGCATTTGTCCACAGACAGCTTTCTGGGTCATGTGGCCAGCATGACTAAACTGCTTCTGGCACAACAGAACACTTTGATGGAAGCTAGATCACACGGAAACACCATTTATCTTCCCGCCACAACAGTACCAATTTATCTACTTGCCCTGGTGTACTTTCTAACTGCTAGGTTGGCAGGAGCAGGGACAAAGCAAGGGGCAGTCACCCCATCATGGGGATTCAAACTGCTGACCTTCTGATCAGCAAGCCTAAGAGCCTCAGTGGTTTAGAACACAGTGCCACCATTGGTGGCTTCCCTGTGTTACTTTGAACTGGAATTTCAGCCTTACTCCTAAAAACATATGGTTAGGTTTGGGACTGACAATATCTTCTCTACCTTGATTAAGTTCTGATCTTCACAGTGTCTTCTCCGGTTCCACACACCTCATTTCGCCACTTGTGCAGAAAGCCATCCGGTCGGCAACGCTTCAAACAAACCAAGCATACTATGCAATCATTTCAAAAACCTGAAACACGTACAGTCTCAAGCTCCGGATCCATCTTCCTCCCATAGTTTGGATGTGGATATGATCTTCAAACCTCAAGTGCCCTTCCAGAGCTCCTGTGTCCAAGAAACGTTGCATATCAATATTCCCCCAAGCCTGCAAGGAGAGGTAGAATCCCAGTCTGCTGAACTTAAATGGCTTCAGTCCATCTTTAAACTTTCAAGCTCACCTCCAGAGCAGACCCCCTGGCCTCTTTGCACATGGTACATTCTCATTGAAGTGCTGTCTTCCAAGGTAATATCAGCACTTCAAAGAATGCCCGCCCATTCCTTCACGGCTCTGTGGCTTCAGTGGAGAACAGTCGAAAAGTTCCTAGCCTTCTGTGTGGCTCTTGCAACATCAAAGAGGCACATGCATTTTTTAGAGAGTTAAGACTAGAGAGGACAGCCTGCCTTGCTTAAGCCCAAAGCATACTCATGTGCTTGTACCCCACTAAGCTTTCATGCTAACCACTTCATGCTATTCTGTCCCACAAGCACCATGTTAGAACTACCGATCTGATGAAGTCATTTTGGACCCAGAAGTTACATGGCTAGTTAATTAAAACAACAACAACAATGGAGATAAATGAAATGGGCAATTGATTAATAATCTTTTATTGGATGCAAGAATTCTGCCAGTGTCTAAATGGGAAACAGTCAAAGCTTCATCAGTAGCAGAGTGGCTAAATATAATATGGTGTTAGAAAGAATCATGGTATATGAGCTAAATAAGTTTTTTGTATGAAGCTCTTTTGTAAGGTATGGGGAGGCTTATTATTATAGCTTGACTAATAAATGATTCCATGCAAATCTATTCAGAGGTAAGTCCTACTGAATTCAAAGGAGCTTGCTCCTAGGTAATTCGAATTAGGGTTGCAAAGTTTGGATCCTTGCACCTGTCCATTCAAGACAGTTTGTACTGGAATTCACCAATTTCCTGGGAGCTCTGGAGAAACTCAGTTGTTTTGTAGCATATCCTCCTGACATATTACTCCTTCTTACAGTGAGCATTCAGGGATGTAATTCACTCCACACATTCTCAAGTCCAGGTAGACAATGTCGGATGGGGCTGGTGGAAGTTGGAGTCTAAAAGCATCTGAAGGGCCTGACGTTTCCGATCTCTGCTTTATTGGTTAGGCTTAGTCCTCCAGTTGGAGGACTTTGCAGTCCAGTTTAAAGATGAAGAACTGCAAGAAAGGAGAGTGGCACAAATACCCACCCACCACCAAAGCAATGAAGATTCATTGCTTTGCTAAGGGACTGCTTGAATAGCTTTCTGTAGATCAGAATGGTCAGATGAGCACTGTCTTACCACCACACCATCTGCTACTGAATTTTCTAAAATTTGACTCCTAGGGGGATATCCAACTCAGCCTTACTTTGGGTAAACCCACTGAAATTAATGGGCCAAAGTTAATCATGTCCATTAATTTCAATAAGCCTATATAGGACTAGCAGTGGATACAAGCCTTATTTAAAAAACAAAAACAAAAAAATCCTGTTGTAAAAATGGCCTGCAGAGAAGTTTACATGCCCAATTTGTACATCAATAAATTTTTGTGGTTTCCCCCCTTATCCAAAGTTTTGCCTGCGGAAAAATAGCTCTCCTACACCCACAAATCACTGAATCTATTTAGCGTCTCTTGAAGAGGTGTAATTTTTTCCCCCAAAATGTGACATTTGCTTCTTTTTTTTTTTTTAATTTGGTGCCAGAGCATTTGTCAACATTAGTGCAATTAGCTCAAGTTTCATCAACTCATTGGCGCAATCTGTTCAGAAAGCACCGCAGAATGCTAAAAATCCTAACAGGCTTCTCCAAATGCAGTGTGAAACACGAGGGATTTGACTTGAGAGCTGCCCACTGAAAATAAAATTTAAAAAGGAGCCTGTCGAAAACAACAACACCACAAATCCCACAATTAAAACTGAGAAACTCCAGGACCATCTATACTGACTCTGATCGTTAGTCCATCCAGCTCAGTATTGTTTACACAGGTTGCACGTAGCTCTCCAGAATTTCGGACAGGGAGTTTTAGGTGCTGGGATTCAACTGGAGACATTTTGCATGCAAAGCAAATGCCCCACCACTGGGCTCTGTTCCTCTAAAGTGAAAGAGGATGAAAGCGTTGCAATCAGGTGGAAGCAGTCTATGCATTTCCCAGTCCCATGCAAAAGAAGAAGAAGAAGAAGAAGAAGAAGAAGAAGAAGAAGAGGAAGAAGAAGTGTGGAAAGGAAGTGAATGTACTGAAAATGGTATTTGGGGTAAAAATATGAAGGTTTAGCCAAAAGCTGGAAAAAATTAGGTAGAGAAAGATTTTCCTCCCTCTCCAATGACACTAGAACTTCTGGTCATTAAAATGAGCTGATTATTGGAAGATTCAGAACAGAGAAAAGGGAATACAGTGGTACCTCAGGTTATATACGCTTCAGGTTACAGATGCTTCAGGTTACAGACTCCGCAAACCCATAAATAGTACCTCGGGTTAAGAACTTTGCTTCAGGATGAGAACAGAAATCATGTTCTGGCAGTGCGGCGGCAGCAGGAGGCCCCATTAGCTAAAGTGGTGCTTCAGGTTAAGAACAGTTTCAGGTTAAGAACGGACCTCAGGAACGAATTAAGTACTTAACCCGAGGTACCACTGTAGTTTTTTGACAGTGTGTATAGTTGAATTGTGGAATGCATCAAGAAATAGTGTCCGAATCCAGACCCTTCAGTTTTCATCTGAGGTCCTCCTTTGAGTGCCACCTCTGAGGCAAGTTCAGAGAGTGGCGATGAGGAAGAAGGTCATAGAAACCATGCTGGACCCTGCTTAGCTTTGCAAATGTGCTGGGTGGTTTCTTTTTCTTTATTATTGTAGCACCCTGTTAGGTTGTTCTCCACATTTGTGGATTGTTCTCCCTAGAGAGATTCACCTGCACTATCATGAACATCCTTTCAGCATCAGGTAAAAATTATACTTCCAGACACTGGACAGATTTTAATGATATTGTTCCTTGTTGATGGTATATTTTTGCTGCTGAAGCTTTTGGTGTTGTTTTATTGGGTTTTTTTTACTAGTTATAGTGAAGCTCTTATTGCAATATGTTGTTCTTTTTTCTGATTTTATGTTCCACTTCATGCACTTAAAATTTCAGAGGTTGTTTGTGTAGCCCCAGACTGAGAGGGGCATAAGACTCCTTAAGTAAAGGTAAAGGTAAAGGGACCCCTGACCATTAGGTCCAGTTGTGGACGACTCTGGAGTTGCGGCTCTCATCTCGCTTTATTGGCCGAGGGAGCTGCGTACAGCTTCCAGGTCATGTGGCCAGCATGACTAAGCTGCTTCTGGCAAACCAGAGCAGCACACAGAAACGCAGTTTACCTTCCCGCTGGAGTGGTACCTATTTATCAACTTGCACTTTGATGTGCTTTTGAACTGCTAGGTTGGCAGGAGCAAGGACCAAGCAATGGGAGCTCACCCCATCATGGGGATTTGAACTGCTGACCTTCTGATCGGCAAGCCCTAGGCTCAGTGGTTTAACCCACAGCACCACCCTCATCCCTCCTTATGTAGCAGGTAACTAATAAATTGAAATCTTAATGATGATGAAGGGGATGATGATACTAGGGGTGTGGCCAATCAGCACGTGCAATGCCATTGGTGGGACTA